TCAAAATTTTCAAGTATAACTGCTCTAACGTATTAAACCAATAGTGCCTGACATCAAAAGGTATGTGTGAGACTAAAATGCACAACACAGACAAGCCCAATTGGAAAAATATAGGACAGGGGCGCCTGGGTGGTTCAGTCGTTAAGCGTCTGCCTTCGGCTCAGGTCATGATCCCAGGGTCCTGGGATCGAGCCCCGCATCGGGCTCCCTGCTCCGCGGGAAGCCTGCTCCTCCCTCTCGCACTCCCTCTGCTTGTGTTCCCTCTCTCCCTGTGTCTCTCTCTGTCAAATAAATAAATAAAATCTTAAAAATATATATATGTATATATATATATATACACAGGACAGAAGACGACAAAAGCATACTTCTAATACATTCCATAGGATCGAAAGACAAATTATAAAATAATACAGAATCTGCATCAGAGTGAATGTATGTAATTGATTTCGGAAAGAGATAGTTTGTTTAAGCCCGGCGATGGGTATTAAGGAGGGCACGTACTGCATGGAGCACTGGGTGTTATACGAAAACAATAAATTGTGGATCACTACATCAAAAACTAGTGATGTAATATATGGTGATTAACATAACATAATAAAATAAAATTTTAAAAATGTGTACAAGTTTTTGATAATTTTTTATTAAAGTAAAACAATTTTTAGGAATCCTATGAAGTTTGCAGCTTAATTAATTTTTGCAATATAATCACAAGTATGTAACCATGATCCAATTTTCCAATATTTTGTAAATAAAACTATACCACCACCACCAAAAAAAAGATAATATATGGCTTCTACAGCTATATAGATGCAGCAATGACCATAAGTTCAAACATTCACTGAGTACCTAGTATTTAGGCATTGATAGTTGCATGCATTATCTCACACAATCCTGTAGAAAGCACATAAGATGAATACTGTTGTCATTTTGCTCTTATCCAGGAGAAAAGTCAGGCACAGAGACTTTGCTAACTTCATGGCTAGTAAGTGGGAGAGGATATAAATCCAGGCGGTCTGGCTCCAGACATGCTCCCTTAACCACTATACATTATTCATTCAATTACATGATGAATATAAGGTAAACTTGAACATGAGGTAATTTGTCATGTGCCCAATGAGAAGTTTACAAAAAATATTTTTTATTAATTTGAATATATACACATTTGGGAATGTAGATACAATTATCAACTAACTGCAATTTTAGTATGTATATATACACATATACATATATACATAAAATCACATTAGGTAAATTAGCATATTTATTAGAAATATTGGCCTTTTTATATTCATGTTATGTAACACAACAGTACAGTCTAGTGGTTTAGCACAAGGACTCTGAAGCCAGACTGGGTTCAAATCTCAGGTCTAGCATTTCCTACCCTATGATGTTTGACAAGTTATTTAACCTCTCTGTTCTCAGTTTCATCATATGTCTAGTATATAGTACCTACCTTGTCAGGCTGTTAGGAAAAGTAATTGAGTAGAAAGGTGTGAAGGGCTTAGAGCAGCGTCAGGTACATAGTAACTATATACTGGTATTAACTCATACCTTTTTTTTCCCCCCAAATGCTTCACTGCACCGTTGGCAGGAGGGGTTCTGCCATCACCAGAGCCCAGCCCTCTGATGCTATGTTTTACAGTATTTCCCCTTCTAAGTTTGAGACACAGAACTTCCACTACTGTCACTGAAATTCTTATCCCAAACCACAATATCCATTCACCTAATATTAGAAATGTTTGATTTGCTATTAAGAGGTTGTCTGAGCTCTACAATAAAAATACAGCATTGCTTTAAAAATTATCTTTAAAAGCCTTTTTTTTTTTTTAACAGCACGAGGCACTTGGAATATTCAAGTCAAAATCCCAAGAATAAATGTTAAGCTAGGGTTAAATTTCTTTGCCTTTTAAAAACCCAATTTGTCTAAAAGCATCCGGTGTTGTTCCAGGCAAATATGACTTCCCAAGACAGTAATTTATTGTTCCAAGTAAAATAATTGAAATAACAGAAGCAGAATTTGAGGAGGAAACTCTTTCCTAAGGGATAAAGGATAATTTGGAGGAGATATAATTTGGGAAATGGAGTTATATCTTTAATATTCAGGGGTAGTGAAAACAGATCTTGGGCATTTACGTTGGTTTTTACCATAATCATCAGGTTTCGTTGTGGAACTTGACATGATAAGTACACAGCTGCCAAATCCTCACCTTATTTGGTGCTTGTGGATATAACTGAAAGTAGGGGAAACTACCCATGTTCAAGCCAGAATTTTCCAGCCAAATTCCCCATGACATATTTACTATAAAACAGAGGGGAAAGAAAGCAACTCTAAAATCTAAGCACAATTTTGGGGTGCCTGGGTGGCTCAGTCTTTAGGCATCTGCCTTCAGCTCAGGTCATGATCCCAGTGTCCCGGGATCGAGCCCCGCATCGGGCTCCCTGCTCCTTGTCGGAAAGCCTGCTTCTCCCTCTCCCACTCTCCCTGCTTGTGTTCCCTCTCTTGCTGTCTCTCTCTGTCAAATAAATAAATAAAAATCTTTAAAATCTAAGCACAATTTCACTGCTGCCCCCCAAAAATGAAGTTTTCTGCGTGTTTGTGAAGTATGTAAGTGTTAGTGTGTATTCTAGCATGATTGTCAAACTAATTAGAAGATACCACTCGTGATCAGAATGTTTTTTTTTTTTTTTTGGTCCCAAGTTTGGTAACTGACATACTAAGTCCCAGAGATGACTGGGCCACTGTTACAAGCCCACTTCATGTTCTATTAACTCTTGACCCGGTTAAGACTTCCTACTCTTAATGAATACAATTCAGTGACTTTAACAGAGGTCAGCACATTTACCAAGTACTGCAGTTTGCTTAAATATAACTCTCTGGAGACTATCCTGAGGTGGGGGGATGCAACACCAAAAGAAAAAAAATGTTTTTTCCCCAAAACGAGAGGTCTACCTGACTAGCCACAAAAATGACTGTTATTCTCTAAGGGTTTATGCAGGATACCTTGGTTTATACTTCAAAGTCAAACAATGTGGAAGATTTAATCATGTAACTTAATTTTTTTGCTTGTCTTATTGAGTAAGGGACAGGTATGGCTAGGAGGGAGAGACAGGTAGGGGGGAGACTCGAATTTTCTTTCAACCATAAGATCACTAAGTAGATGAAGTAATAGATTATTGCATATTGTCGATAACCAGAAATTCAGCTTCATAGGTGATACAGCTTAGAGAGCATAACTATATAATTTATCAACCAAACTGGGATATTTTTGATAGCAAAAAAGGGAAAATATTAATAATTATGCTGGAAAAAAAACAGGCATAAAATGGGACAATGTGGCTGGCTCCAGCAAATCTGGCCACATGGTCATCTCCCAAGAGTTGTGCAGATGGTACCTACATCAATAAATTCTAAAATGATTTACAAAAGTTGGTAAATTGAATAATTTAATGAGCTTTTCCAGAAATTTTCCGATGAAATTAGCTACCCATTCATCTCAAGAGTATACTCCTTGGTTTTTCAGTTTGTTATGTCCTTTTCCTATTATTATTTTTGTTTGGAGGGGAGTGTGGAGTTTTTTTTGTTTGGTTGTTTTACTTGTTTGTTTCATACAGAGTGTATGTTGAAAAAAACCTTTTAACCAGTGAAATATTATTATTCCTTTGGAAACCAGTCCCAGAGCAGTGGCCTGGTTTCTTTTGTAAAGACCATGGGTTTGGGGGGCCAGCATATAATGCAAGGGCTAAATTTTAATACTATAAGCTCTGAAGACAGTTCTGCCCAATGGTTAATACCATGGCATTTGGAGTTAGGATTCCTGCACTTTCAAAAAGTGATTTAACACTCTGTGATTTAACACAGCAGCCAGAGCAATCAAAAGGAAAGAATCTACTTATGACACTCTTCAGTTCATAACCTTCAGTGGTTCTCCTTTGTCTTTTAGAACCAAAACCAGAATCCCACAAGACACTCTATTCCTGGCCCTTGCCTGTAGCTCCAGCCTCAACTCCTACATGGCTGTCCTCCATCGCCTCTCTAACCATCCCCACTGCATTTAAACCAGTGATTTCCAAACTGATTTTATCCAAGAGACATTTTTAAGTTGTCACAAGGTGGCAGTGGGGATGGGGGTGTGCTACTGACATCCAGCTGGTAGAGGTCAGGGATGTTGCTAAACATCCTACAGCACACAAGGCAACTTCATTCGTCCCCCTCCCCTCCCCGCCCGCAAGAATCATTTAGATCAAAATGTTAATAGTGCAAAGACTGAAGAACCCTTATTTACACCTTTTCTGACACATGTGTTCCCTAATCCGAGGCCTTGCACACACTATTCTCACTGCCTGAAATATTGATGCTCTTCCCCTTCCCTCATTTCCCTTTTCTTTAAAAACTCCTTTTCACCCTTTTGATCATCACCCTTTCACAGTGGCTTTCCCAATTTTCCGTCCCAGATGAATATTACACCCTTTCAAAGAATTATGTAGCACTTAAGAATATTAGTAACAGTTTTACATATACTTATATGTGTTTGATAACCCCACCCCAACGAATCCCAGGTGAGCGGTACCATTTAGCTTGTATTCATCATAGTAGCCCCAACAGCTAGTACAGCGAGGTGAGTTGTCCTGCAACACTGCATTCAACGTTACTAAATGGACACTTAACAGCCTCACTTACAAAAGGAGAGTAATAGAGTCATCATCTCATTAGGTCGTAAGGACTAAATAATACACATAAACTCTATAACACTGTTTCTGGATCACAGTAACGCCAGAAAGACCGAGCTCTGTGGTTTGTGGACCGGAGAGAAGCTCTATCCGCTCATCATCAGCCAGCACATCCTCTCCCAGGACCCGGGTCTGCTAAAGACTTCTCCCCACCCCAAACAGTAACTAACAATTGCTGCGCCTGCGCTTTTCAGCCTCGATCGCTAACCAGGCTATCGGAAGTATTTTCCTTCTTCTCATTGGCCCACCACTGGTCTGACTTCTTCGGTACTGCGCATGTTCCACAGCAGGTTTCCTCCTCCCCGGCCCCGCCCCGTATCTGCCCTAGAGGGGCACATATCTGCCAACACGCCTGCGCGAGCGGGCGTGCTCCGGAAGCAGTTCTTTGGCCCTGTGACACGTAGCAACGGGGTGAGTTCGGGGTCTTAAGCGTTTTTGGGGGGTTTTGGGGGGCTGCTGGAGCTGCTGACGCCGCTACCGCCGCTTCCGCGTTTGGTGAGTGTCCCAGGCTTGTGGCACACTGTTCGGCTTCTCTTCAGTCTTGTGTGGCGCGGCTTGTTGCCTCCGTTCGGCGCCGCGTTCCGGTCATTTCGCTCAGACCCTCGCTCCCTTTCAGGCGCTTGCTTTGACGCGGCCCCTGTACCTCGTTCGCGGCCTTCCAGGAGTCTGCCCTTTCCCGGAAGGCCCAGGCCTTATTTTGCAGAGAGACAGTCGCCTTGTCAGCAGCAGAGTCCGCCCTGAGGTGAGGAGTCGTTTTTGTTGTTGATACTTTAGACCTCCGTGGAACCCTTCTCCCACGCCCCTTCCCCTAACCAGGGCGTATCAGCTCCGTGAAGTGCAGGTGTCTTCCCGGCTCTTAGAGACTAGACGTTTCCTGTGCAACTCCCACCTGGACCTATCCTTCAGATGCCGTTCCCCCAATTCCAGAAGAAATAATTTACTGCCTCCTGAGGCTTTTTGCTTTGTATCGAAATGAAATCAGTAGGACCTTGGGTATAAACACTATTTGCCATTTTTCTTCTCTTACAGATAATTTGCAATGGCAGGGTTTGATAACTTAAACACGGACTTCTACCAGACAAGTTACAGCATCGATGACCAGTCACAGCAGTCCTATGATTATGGAGGAAGTGGAGGACCCTATAGCAAGTGAGTTGTCAACTTTGTTTAGTCCAGACCGAAGTGAAAGCCTGTATCCTCATTGTTTGGTTCTGCCTAAAACTGAACGTGTCACCGTGTGCCTTGTTAGGAATGTGATTTTTCATAATCTTCCTTCCTCTGGAAGGATCTGTGACACTGGTTTGGGTTTGAAGGGATTGCCCTATTTAGAGTTTGGTATCTTCTGCGAAATCTGCAGGTGTGCCGTGGCTGCAAAAGTAGATTGTTAAGAACTGTTTCCTAGTAATAGTATTTCTGCATCATTTAGGATCTGGCTATTAGCTTCAAGTATCTAGAAGATACCTAGGCTGTTTCATCTAAAGAACCAGTTAAAAACTTAAAATCTTGTGACGGCTAGTTTAAGAAGTTAGATCAGTCCAAATTTCAGACCTTATCAACGTTAATTCAAAGGGCTTAGTGACACTATTTAGCAGTATAAGCTCTCTGTTATGAATCATCAGGTGGTTTTTTTTAATAGCAAGTGATAATCATCTTTATTAATGCTCATATCGAAACCTTACGGTCAGTACACACGGGTTGCCAGTTGCTGATTGAAGAGGGGGACTCAAACCCTTTCAGCCCTGAACTCCTAAGAACAAAACCAAACCCTGACTTTTTAATAGTCCCTGGTGTTAGTGGCAGAAATACATTAGCTGAGGCTTTCCGCCATTCTCCTCTAGGACATCATATTCTTCGTTTCTTAGGACCTTAAAGATAATCTCATCAGTCATTTCTGATACCAGGGTGGCTTAACCTTTTTTAGATGACCCAGGAGCCCTTCAAGAATCTTACAGAAATGATGGGCCTCTTTCTGAGATATAAATCATACACTCAAATGCCCACATAAATATGCACATATTACTGCACAGTTATGTGCCGTCTGATGTTCATCTATGAACCCTGAATTAAAAACCTCATGAAGGGTCTCCCAGAATGAGGGCAAGGGAAGGTTGTGTATTGAATCAATCTGAGAGAAACATGTAGTAGTAGAACATGTTTGAATTAATATATCTGAATGAAAGTGCCCAAGAATTTAAAAAGCAAAGCAAAACTCAAATTCAGCCCTCAGTGTGGTCTCTCTTATATAAGCTGTACTTTTTACACCTTTTGCCCCCTTAAGTCTGCTTAATTTGATATATTCCAAAGCTTTCTTCCCCCTAAAACCTAACACATTGAACAGTGGGAGTGAGCATGTGAAAAATACTATCTGTGAATCAGTTTTTTTTTTTTCAGTGACATTTTCTTATATTCTATCAGGGATTTATCTTTTTTGAACAATTAATTGGGCAGAATTGGAAAAATCATGTTGAGAAATCTCCATTTGTTTATTTACTTAAAAATGGTTTTTGTTTGTTTTAATCTGTGTATGAGAGGAAAATGAAGGAAGGATTGGGTAGAGTGCAGCCAAAGGGCTTTGGAAAACCTGTGTCTGTGTGCAGGCCTGTTTTTTAACTAAATGATATTTGGACTCCGCAGAACTATTACATTTAGATCATAGCCTCCTAGGTTTATTTATCACTGCCTTTCTCTCCTGTCCTGTCTGTGTTTGCATCACCTAAACGTGTGACTTATCTTTTCATTCCAGATATCATTCTCTCATTTCAGTTTTCCATAGGGAGGTTGTTTAGATACTCTTTTGCTAAATATTCTCAAAATCCCATTGCAGCCAGATCATGTGCCAGTAACCATTGCTTCAGTATAATTAAGTTTTATTGCAGCTGCTTATATACCCATTATTGCCAATTAATAAATATGAGTTGATATATGAAGCCTAGGAAAACAGGAAGCTTAATGTATTAGCAGTAATAATTGGGTTTCTTTTATAAGTATCATTTATATATTCATATAACAACAACAACAAAAAGTAAAAGGCCTTTTGATCTTAATCTGTTGAGTTTTATGATTGTCCCATTGGACAAGTCCCACATTGTATGCTAGATATGCCTGTAAAATGCCAACTACATATTTTTAAAGTATTTCAAGCTAGTATTTTTTCATCTTTGACTTAACTGATAAATACCTATATGGAATACAAGGTTGAATTAGTCTCTAAAGATCATGTCTACACATGCTATGTTCTAATTTAAACCCAACAGGAGCAAGCCATGAATTTTCCTGACCAGGTCCTTACAGAAAAGGAAAACAGGAAAATTCCATGGTGTTTCTTTCTCACCTTGCATCTTAAAGAAGGAATGATGGTAACACTTTTAAAGCTGTCATTTGCTTGTAGTAATTCTCTTCCTTACTTGACATTTTTAAGTCTATATGAGCAGTTCTAAAATGTGGACTGCAGACCCCAGAGGATCCTTGAGACCGTTCAGGGAGTCTTTAAGGTTAAAACTATTATTATAACAATACTAAGACACTATCTACCTTTTTAGGTGTATTGACATTTGTACTGATGTTGTAAAAACTGATTGACAAAACTGCTAGTACCTGAATATGAATCAAGACGAGAGCGTCAGATTGTTCTAGTAATCACTGTATTCTTCATTGCCACACACTTGCTGGGGTGTGGAGGGAACCATTTTCATTCAAGGATACCCTTGAAGAAGCAGTAAAAATTATGCTATTAAGTCCTGACCCTTCAGTACACACACATTAAGAATATTCTGTGTGACAAAATGGGAAACAGTCATAAAACACCTCTGCTTCATACTGAAGTACAATGATTATCTCGAGGAAGAGCCCCCGTGCAATATCAATCGCAGGCTGTATCAGCTGCTTTTCATGAAAACTATTTTTATTGGAAGGAACATCCCGACAGATACAGTTATTTGGACTTGAGTACTGGGCAGATACTTTCTCAAAGATGAAATAATTGAGGTTCTTACTTCAAGAAAGAGAATTGGCAGTATGTGTAGGCAGTGGTTAAATTCAAGTTTTCAGGTAAAAATGAGGATTTGGGAAAACTGTGTCCATTACTGTGAACTTGTCAGCTTTCCAGTAATTAACCACTTTTCTGAGGAAATGATTGGTGATACTAACAAATGTGATTTTCCTATATTTCTACTTCATATATGTTTTTATATTAAATATGTCAATGTTTGGAAGAGCTATACTGCACTAACATTTTCTAAATCAGCAGTGAATGTTATGAAATAATACATGAGTAAAGAAAGGATCCATTCAAGTGCAAGACAGATCGGTGTATTCTAATGTAACAGTATAAAAAGTTTATTAGTATTGTTCCATTTTCTATGTTGCAAGTTAAGTTTAAAAAACTACCATTTTGAGTTTAATGTAGTATGAAAAGAATATTTATGATAATCCGAAAAGGTTGTTAAATAATTTTCCAACTATTTGTCTGCAACACTAGATTTTCTTCAGCTATTTCAACTAAAACAATACATCACTACAAATTGAATGCAAAAACACATCTAAGAATTTGTAGCTATCTATTATTAAACCAGATGTTAATGAGATTGTCAAAAATACAATACGGTGCCACTTTTCTTAGTAATTTTTTAAAGTAATTTTTCATAAAAATTTATGCTGATATGTAACAGGTTTATTGTTACTTTGAATTAATAAACATTTTAAACATTTCTGTTTTAATTTGTAATGTGATAAATATTGACAGATATAGTCCACATAAATAAAAAAACCTTTGGGGTTCCCAATAATAAATTTTAAGGGTATAAGGGGATCCTAAGAGCAGAGAGCCTGTACCATTCTTGTTGAGTTTTTCTGTTGTATACACATTCATATTCTCTCTGTCTCTTTCTGTGTGAGAGCGAGAGAATAAAATGCAATCTGTTTATGCAGATTGTAGAAGCCTCCATATGGAGCTTTTCTAGCTGTTTCATAAACTCGGAGGTAGATCTGTGATACATTCTAACAGATCAACACAGTAGCATACTAAATCACAAAATGTTAGTTCTTGTCCTAGTTCATTTCAACCATCTAGTCCTGGGGAGGGGTGTGTGTGTGTGTGTGTGTGTATTTAAATAAATGGAAATCAATGTATTTGCATATAAAAACAACAGGGGAAAGGTATATATGGAAAAAAGATACTATAGCTCTCTCCATAAGGTAGGATTTGGGGATGATTTTTATTATGATTGTTACGAGTTGGCCACTGGAGTCAAAAAGTCTAGTTTTGAATCCTGGCCCCACCATAGGCAAAATCATTTTCACCCAAATATCAGTTTCTACATCTCTATAATGGGAAGGATGATAAAACCAATCTCCTAAAGTTGTAGTGAGGTAATGGGATGTAATTCACATTAAACACTTGACACAGTAACATTCAAGTAGTTTATATATATTTTTGGAAATTTTTAGTAGTTAATGTATATGTATATGTTACATATAACATTTTAGAATGAATTAATTTTATTTTTTATTTTCTTAAAGATTTTATTTATTTACTTGGCAGATAGAGAGCACAAGTAGGAGGAGCAGCAGAGGGAGAGGGAGAAGCAAGCTTCCCGCTGAGCAGGGAGCCTGATGCGGGGCTCGATCCCAGGACCCTGGGATCATGACCTGAGCCGAAGGCAGACACTTAACCAACTGAGCCACCCAGGCATCCCTAGAATGAATTAATTTTAACAAATAGTAAATATACAACACTTTTAAAGGTGCAGAAGTTTTTAATATGAAAATAACTCTTCCACTTTCCCGTTTCCAGGTCCTTTTACCTATTTAATTATATGTGTTATACTATGTTATGTTATACCTAAACCTGTGTAATTGTACGTATTATACGTAATGTATGTACATATATATAAAATACATGTATACAAATATATACATACTACAGATACATTCTAAAAAGTACCATCACAGTGGGTACAGATGGTATATACTGTTCTGAACATTGGGTGTTTTTAATTCTGCCTACTGAGTGTTTTTTTTTTTTTTTTTAAGATTTTATTTATTTATTCATGAGAGAGAGAGAGAGAGAGAGAGAGGCAGAGGGAGAAGCAGGCTCCCAAGGAGCAGGGAGCCCGATGCGGGACTCGATCCCAGGACGCTGGGATCATGACCTGAGCCGAAGGCAGACGCTTAACCATCTGAGCCACCCAGGCGCCCCCTACTGAGTGTTTTTTGATTATCATTCCTTATTAGTACACATAAAAGTACCTCATCCCTTTTAACAGGTGCATAGTAGTCTATGCTCCTATTATAGTATATTTACTTGTGACTGTTCGTATTGTTTTGTTTTTTATTTTTTGCTATTAAAGTAGTGTTTCATCGAATTCTATATTAGCATATAGCCAGAAAAATAAATAACATTTTTTTAAGCTTGGATTGGACTAGCGTGATAAGTAAATCTTGAGAGTCTCATTGAGCTCTCCAAAGGGCTATGTGTAGTTGAAATTTTGCCATTACTTGGATTTGCTTTTAATCAAGATGTTCAGTTAATTTAAAAATCAGATTTAATTTTAAAATCTCAATATTCATGGCAGTCATTAGATTTTATATTTGTCAGGAGGGAACTATAAAATTTTTAAGGGTGATTAAAGGATCTTTAAGGCTTCTCAGTTCTTTTTAAAAATATCTTTTAGAGGCACCTGGGTGACTCAGTTGGTTAAGCGTCTGCCTTCAGCTCAGCTCATGATCCCAGGGTCCTGGGATCAGGCCTCTGCTCAGTGGGGAGTCTGCTTCTCCCTCTACCCCTCCCCCTGCTTGTGCTCTTGTACCCTTTCTCTCAAAAATAAATAAATAACATCTTAAAAAATCTTTTAAAATAACCTAACATACTAATAAAATTAAATTAAAAATAAAATAATTATTTTACTCTGTATTTCTTACTGTGTAATGAGATTAGTGCCGTTGATAGGTAAGCCGTATTTTTTCCCAGAACGTGGTAAAACAGGTTTTTAAAGATACTGCTTCAGCATCCTTCTGTTCCCTGTTGTTTTCATCATTAAAATAGCCTTGGTAAAGTCTCTTTTTCTACAATGCAGGATTTACTATAGCGCATATCAAATCAGACAATAGTTGTATACCTACTTGGAAAACTTAAAAGTGCTCTTCAAATGCAAGATGTACTAATAATGTTTTGTTATATTCAGAAAGCTTTCACAGAAAGAGGCTTGAATTTTTCCACTCTGTATTTGAAATTGGTGCTCGTTCTTAAAAAGATTTACCCACTTGCAAAAAATAACATACTACAAAGAGTAAAGAAGAATGATTATATTCAGTGGAGATCCAGACCACAGTGGAAAATTACATAGCATGTAGTACAAAGTCTGTCCTGTTAGTTTTCATTCATAGTCTTAGGCATCAATTGTATTTCATGGCTATCTTCATATTACATATACTTACCGGAGGGGGAGAAATAGATAAAATTCTTAAGTTTTCATTTGTTGACCACCTAATGTTTAAAAGTTTCATAGTTTGTAAAATGCTTAAGCTCAGTGTGAGTGTTGGCATCATCAGGAAGGTTCTCTAAAAAACACAACTTAACCATTGTAGATAATCAGATTGGTCTTAGTTATCATTTCAACACCATTTACGAAAACTGGCAAAGTAGCTGTTCTAGGAATTGCATGACTGACTCTCTAGCTCTCAGAGATATCCACTGTTGACATAATTCTGAGAAATGTAACTTTGATTTACAGACAGTATCCTGGCTATGACTACTCGCAGCAAGGCCCATTTGTCCCTCCCGACATGATGCAGCCACAACAGCCATACACCGGGCAGATTTTTCAGCCAACTCAGGCGTACACTCCGACGACACCTCAGCCATTCTATGGAAACAACTTTGAGGATGAGCCACCTTTATTAGAAGGTAGGATTAGTTGCAACAGTTCATAGTATTCTGTAGTGTCCACCTGGTCAGTGAAAATATATCTTAGTTTGGGGAACTTGTCCTTTCCTTTAAAAGAATAATGTTCTAGAAAAAAAGAGATATGAATCCATTGAGCCGTAGGGGACCAGATTTTTTAATAGATCTTTATAAAGTGAAATTATGTCAGTGTGTGAGCCTTGACTTTGACTTCACATTACTGATTAAATTCTGTCAGTGGGAGAAATAAAAGGAAATAGCATGGTATTGTGATTATTTTACATGGAAGAAGCTGGCAAAACTAGTAACATCACTGAAAAGTATGATGTTTTTCAAATTGTATTCTCGTAAAAAAAAATGTAAACCCATTAAGCAGTAGTACTGTGTATTTTTTTGAGGGGGTTGGATATAGTTTCAAAGTCTAATGAAAACTATGGATACTCTTCTCAGAAGAATGCACACCTATGCATAGAAACAGTTTCATATACAATTTCGTAGCATCTCCAGGTATTCCGAAGCCCCAGGTAAAGAACCCCTTACTGTTAATGAAGGCTGGTATTGAGGACTAACCAGAATGTCTCATAATGCTAGATTCTCTCTTTTTTTTTTTTTTAAGATTGTATTTATTTATTTGAGACAGAGAGAATGAGAGACAGAGAGCATGAGAGGGAGGAGGGTCAGAGGGAGAAGCAGACTCCCTGCCGAGCAGGGAGCCCGATGCGGGACTCCATCCCGGGACTCCAGGATCATGACCTGAGCCGAAGGCAGTCGCTCAACCAACTGAGCCACCCAGGCGCCCTGCCACACACTTTTTTTTTTTTTTAAAGATTTTATTTATTTATTTGAGAGAGAGAATGAGAGAGAGAGAGAGCACATGAGAGGGGTGAGGGTCAGAGGGAGAAGCAGACTCCCTGCTGAGCAGGGAGCCCGATGCGGGACTCGATCCCGGGACTCCAGGATCATGACCTGAGCCGAAGGCAGTCGCTCAACCAACTGAGCCACCCAGGCGCCCTAGATTCTCTTTTGATGCTGAGTGTTTCATTTTGTGTCCTATTGCAGCATAGATTCTGGTAAACTAAAGGTGTGTCACAAATCGTAATTGACTGTCTTACTTTCTTTTCTTTTAGAATTAGGGATCAATTTTGACCACATCTGGCAAAAAACACTGACAGTGTTACATCCATTAAAAGTGGCAGACGGCAGCATCATGAATGAGACTGATTTGGCAGGACCGATGGTTTTTTGCCTTGCTTTTGGAGCGACATTGTTACTGGTAAGATTTTAGTTTGAATTCTCAGTATGAGGCTAGAGAACAACCTTGCAGCGTTCCGCCAGGAGCCAAGTTTGAGACTCTGTTTATTTTTCAGATCTTGCCTGTGTTTTGAATGGTATTAAGTTGCTGGAATACATACACATTCATCACTTCTCCATTGATAAAAAATGTCATGTATTTAGAAATAATTTTTTGTTCCAAGAAAATGTCTAATTATTAGGGGAAAAAAACCAATAGTTATGATGTGTGGCTTCAGTCTCTCATCAGAATTCCTTCTTTTTAGAAATTGACAACATTTTTTAGCCTGTTGCTCTTTTATTTATTTATATATTTTAATGATAGCTTTTTTTTTTTAATCTGTGGACTTTGTGTGGTGTTTTGTTATTATAGTGGTGCTGGTTGTTACTTTCCTTTATATTATTTTAACTTTTAATGAATTGGAACATTAAAGGGCAAGACGTTTTACTGCCTATCTCCTACCTCCCTACAAATGTTAAAGTATATTGAAAATGAGTAGTTGTAAAGATAATTTGTTAATATTTGTTGTATTTTATCTTATGTCTCTGAATTAGAAGAGATAAATGATGTAATGCATAAAAGATGGGATTTTTAGTCAGAAAAGCTGGGCATCAGTTCAGTGCTCCTGCTCTGTCCTGGAGCAAGCCATTCATCCTTCAGCTCCCTCTGATAGATAATCCTATGGTTCCCACCTCACAAGATTGTTTACAGATTATAACCAAGACAGGTTATATGAGAACACTGAAAAATTTTAAAGCGCTGTGCATGTATGAGGTTTTATTATTACTACGTTAGTGAATCCATTGGTGAACTCAGCTGAACCTTTTGAAACTTCTACACTCTCACATATTTATAAATAAATACTGAGTCTAACAAAAATGACAAGAATTTTTCCATGTAACGTAATCTTTAGAGGCAGTCTCATGATTGAGTTTTATATGTCTAGAATCTTGACAAACCAGGAAGTTTTTAAACTCTCTGGACTGATTTTCATCACAGTATGACCTGAATACAATGTTTGTTCATATATCTTGACTGAGAGTACTGTGACAGCAATTTACCTAACTTATACTGTCTTAAGTCTGTTCATTAATATCTTTTATAACAGCATAATTAAGTTTTCTTTTGTTTTTTTTTGTTTGTCAAAAGACTATAAATCCACCAACAATTTGGAAAAATAATGAAAGAAAAATATATCTTCCATTGTATTTCTCTTGCTTGTTAATCAGTTTTCTTTTCTCCTCCCCTCCCCCACAGAACCACAGTGTCCTCCTTATCCTGCCTTCCTTTCTCTTAGCTCCTTTAACAGCCTTATAAAGTGAATGATGAAATTGTTTCTGCTGTTATAAAGATTGCAACTATGACTACCAATGAGAATAAATTGCTTCGGGGCAATTTTGGTGGTACTAGCTGCTTTCAAGTGACATTAGATATTGTCCAAACATTCTGCAGGGCTTTCTGTCTTGTCTCTGTAGTTTATTTGCTTAAAATCAGCTAGATTTCTTTTTAGAAATCTACTCCTTAAAGGTGATTGTACCATGATTTTGTCTCTTTATTTGCTGAATTGCTCAAATACAAACTGGAAAATGAAAAACCAAGTATCTGTGTATTGGGAAGTAGATACTTCAGATTTCTTGAGAGAGATATAAAAGACAATCTGTGTTTTACTCTTCTGCATAAGGAATAGATGCCTCTACAGATTTTGATGCTCACAAATTGAATATTTTCTTACATGCACCATTTTAGGTGAAATAAGACCAAAGAGAACTTACTTTCTTTCCCTTAACCTATAATCTTTTCTTTACCCATAGGCTGGCAAAATCCAGTTTGGCTATGTATATGGGATCAGTGCAATTGGATGTCTAGGAATGTTTTGTTTACTAAACTTAATGAGTATGACAGGTGTTTCATTTGGGTGTGTGGCAAGTGTCCTTGGATATTGTCTTCTTCCCATGATCCTGCTTTCCAGCTTTGCAGTGATATTTTCTTTGCAGTAAGTACTGATCTTTATTTTGGGTATTGATTGACCAATTCTCTGTAATAGAATTTATCTCACCATCAGTTTAAGATTAATCACTGTGACTCAGCAAACATGAGCTATAGTGCCTGTTGTGAATGAGGACTATACTACATGCTTTTCAGTGGTGAACAGTGGAACTGAGAATAAATTTTAAAATCTTTTATACCATCTCTGCTTTTATCTGCGATAAAGAATTTCACTGCTTTTGTGTTTACTTACCAGTGTCAGTAAACCGAACAGTGGTGATTGTTAACTAAAATATTGCATGAAAAAATCAAGTTGTTAAAATTATACTTACCGTCTTTGATATTTTTTAGACTGTATCTGGTTTCTTAAAGATGTTGGGCATATGCTAAGTGAATGAATAATAAACACATACTCTTGTGTTTGGCAGCTTTTTAGCTGAAAGCAAAACATTCTTTTTATGGGAAGAGGCTGTTACTAGCCTGCCATGTTCTCAGCTGTACTTATAAGCAGTTTTAAGTATGTAATTGTTAAATAATATTTTAGGTAAGGTTAAAAAGAAAGGTGTAAATTCCTGTTGATAAATTCTCTCCTCTTGGCCAGTGTGCAGATTCTCTCTCAACAGTTCAGGCTCCTCCTTGTGGCTGGTGCCAGGCACAACCAGTGATGGCTCTTGGTTGCACTTAAAAAAGTTAAAGGAGAGGTTGAGGGGAAGAGTATGCATCAGATGTTTGATGCTAGACATTTGGCAAGATGGTGGCTTCACAGTGTTCTTGCTTTGCGTAAAAATGCTTCAGATTTTTTGTAGAAACTGTTTCACTCTTTTCGTTTGTGGAGATTGGTACATAGATATTTGAATTTTACAAAAGAGACTTTTCTACCAAAGCGGTATTTTCTAACCAGGGCAATTTTGCTCTCAGGGGACCTCAGGCAGTGTCTGGAGATAATTTTGGTTGTCGTAGCTGTGGGGCGTGCACAGGTTCCACCGGTACCTTACAGCTAAAGGCCAGGGGTTCTGCTCAACAACCTAACAATGCACCGAACACCCCTTCACAGCAAAAGTGCATTCATCCCAGGTGTCAGTAATGCCAAAGTTGAAAAACCTAGCTCCTATGCTAACAGGAGCAAAATGTAATTATAAATGAGCTTTTTCTCACGTCATTGAATGTGGATGTGAATAATTAAGCATCATTGAATTCACTGTGAGGTACATTATTTTAACATTTGAAAAAAAATCTTGATCTTTTCTGCAGATGTGTACAATGTGGATTTAAAATGCCTTTCTTTAGAATTGGTTGTTGTTATATTCTTACATAACTAATCTCATCTACTGCCTTTTCCCCCTCCCCTTTTTCCTTGTCGGTTACAGAGGAATGGTAGGAATCATTCTCACTGCTGGAATTATTGGATGGTGTAGTTTTTCTGCGTCCAAAATTTTTATTTCTGCATTAGCCATGGAAGGACAGCAACTTCTAGTAGCATATCCTTGTGCTTTGTTATATGGAGTCTTTGCCCTAATTTCTGTTTTTTGAACTGACTTTATCTGGCATGTGGACATCATTGGGCCAAAAAGGACTTTGAACCCTTAAATTGGACCAGCGAACTGCTACAGTGCAACTCTCATGCAGACCTAACATTTGACTGTTGGAGCAATGGAAGTAAACATGTATCTTTTGTTCATTTTTATAGAACTTTTGAATACTGTGTTGGATTTGTCTGCAGTATGACTAGCTTTAAGTGTTTGTGCTTATACACATAAGAATAAGAAGTGCTATTTCTCTCCTGTTCCTGCAGCCTTTGAAGAACGAATTTTTTCCTGGCAAATTACATTAAGATGTTTTTAATAGATTTTTACCAACTGTGGGAAACTAACCACAGAGCTAAAAATCTTTCTTAGAAACAGCCCAGCCTTAGTTAAGAAGACACGAGACTTACTGCAGAAATATTTTTCCAAGGGATTAGGAAAGAAAAATTGCCTGTATTCTCGAGTTAGATGCACTTGAAGCAAAAAGTGATCCCAAAGTAGAATTTACGAGTTTGCACTTCCAAAATTTGACATTCCTTTAAATTATCTCATGGAGTTTTTGCTAAAATTCAACGAGACAAGAAGTTCGTAGTCTACTTTATTGTAGACAGGAAATGTGAACACCTGTTAAGATTAGCATTAACTAAACCATAGTGACCCAGACTGGCCACATTAATGTTCATAGTTGGATCTCCATATTTCCTACCTTTTTTTGAGAAAAATATTTAAAATGTCACAATTTCAGTACTGCAGTTATCAATGTAAAATGCATTTGATGCTTAGTAATTAAAATTTTCCCAGTTTTAACTGCTGTTGAGTTGACTTTTGCTGTTTTCGGTATCACATTTTCTTTAACTAGGTTCTGGTTTTAACTTGTATTCCTGATTTATCCTAAGTTTTAAGAACAGAAATCATTTAGTATAAAAATCAGAAAAAAAAAGGATTAAGTGAAAGGCAATTTGAGTTACAACATTATTTCCTTGTATTAAATTTATTTGGTTAATGTCATGCTCTCTTGCCAGAGAATCTGTAGGAAAATGCTGTATCTTGTATTTTGATCATTGGCTTTTTCTGAAAAAACTGCCTCTGATTTTGGACAAGCTCAGTTACACTTATGAGAAAGGTGCCTTGTGGGGAGGAAAATGTTGCCTTTTTTAAAAAAGGAGAATTTTAGACTAAGAAAACACCAAACTGATGTTAATTGTTGTTTTTAAAAGGTAGTGTTCAATCAAAAAGGTTAAGTTAATAAAACATATTTCTTATAAGATCATGATTTCTAATCTCCGGAATCATGTAAATTTGTTTTTCTTCATTAATACTTAATCTTCTGGAGGAATACTCTCAGTAATAATTCATTTCTGGCTGGGTTTTCAAACTTACCCCAAAGTGTTTTAGAATATTTTTTATTGTAATCCGTGGGTAGTATCTTTTTTGCCTCTTTCAGTTTAGTTTTATAAATACACTAATCTGGGCGCCTGGGTGGCTCAGTTGGTTAAGCGACTGCATTTGGCTCAGGTCATGTTCCTGGAGTCCCGGGATCGAGTCCCACATCGGGCTCCCTGCTCGGCGGGGAGTCTGCTTCTCCCTCTGACCCTCCTCCCTCTCATGCTCTCTGTCTCTCATTCTCTCTCTCAAAAAAAAAAAAATTAATAAATAAATAAATACACTAACCTTGTTAAGGCAGATATGAGTGCCTTCTGTTAATATCCAGTTTTTCCTAATGAACAGGATAGGTGATGCTTTGGGAATTAAATTTTCTCACTGTTGATTTTAGACCATTAATCTTCAGCCAGATTCCCCAAATTGTTTTCTTATTTTTTGCCTCTCCCATCCCCAAGATAATAATTTTTAATTTAAGTCAATGTTGAGAAATTTTTGTTGTTAGTTGTCTTATTTAACTCCAAAGTGATTAGGTATAAAACCATCTTATATAAGCAGTTACTCTGTCAAAACAGCTATACAGTAGAGTTGTGTTTAATGCAAGAGCTTAGTTTTAGTTTGGTACCTGAAGAGTCATGTATAGCCAAAGTTTCCCTTCTAAAAAAAAAATTTTCTTTAAAATACAATGTATGTAGCTGTATTTATGCATACTTTAAAAGCTGAAAAACTATTTCAAAAAGTTATGTGTGGTGAATTTTTTCTGTGGCATTGTAGTAGATTTTTGTTTCCACAATGAAGTTCCAGGAAGAGCATCTAATCTAGCTTGCTTTTAGGGCCCATTTTGTACCAAAAACATATATGTACCATTAAATACTAGAGATAACGGAGTATAGCTACAAGCTCTCTTAGTGATCGCTCCTGAGTAACACACTCACTGTGAATGGATTTTCAGGCTCTCTCACTCAAGCTAGAGTGTTGTTTATTTATGCATGCCTTTATGCCAAGGACAGACCGTTGCTTTTTTGTATGGTATAAATGTATATTTTATGACTTTTAATACCATGTTATATTGCCATGTTTACCAGTGGGTGCTTTCAAGAGCTATATAACTAGGCTTGTAGGAATAGGCATTCTTTCTCCAGATACTGTTATAAAGATAGTGCAAAATTCTATAAATCGTAAAATGCTACCTATTGTCACATACTACGCATCCAATCAAAGAGAATTTTAAGAAATGTATCTAATGACATATTTTGGGTAGAATTTAAGTACTGCGCATTTGACATTTTGCAAGTTTATTTGTAACCTTAATGGGCGTTGCTCAACTCAAATATACTCCAAATCTAGGAAGGACAGTTATCTCTGAAGCTCAAATTATACAGTTATTTTTATAGTATTTGTTACCTACAAAAGAGCCTTTCCTTTCTGAGATTAGACACTTTTTTCCTTGTAAATGGAAGAATTAATTTAGAACTTTGGGCAAAAGGAGAACTATAGAAATTGAAATCTTACCCAATAGGGTATTCTTTTTTTTTTTTTTTTAAAGATTTTATTTATTTGAGAGAGAGAGAATGAGAGAGAGAGAACACATGAGAGGGGATAGGGTCAGAGGATGAAGCAGACTCCCTGCCGAGCAGGGAGCCCTATGCGGGACTCGATCCAGAGACTCCAGGATCATGACCTGAGCCGAAGGCAGTCGCTTAACCAACTGAGCCACCCAGGCGCCCCCAATAGGGTATTCTGACCTAGTTGTGGAAAATTGTGGGAAGTCAGAACCACATTTGGAGATCTGCCTATTGTCATATAGAGCAGAGCTAATGTAATGACTCAGACAATTTGCTTAACTTGCCCTGTAGCAGAAATTTTATTTTTATTTATATATATATGTATGTATATTTATGTATATACATACATGTATGTATGTATATATATGACAAGGTGTTCAGCCTTTCATAAAGTATTTTCAAAAGTTTTCCAAGAAATATAGAATGGTACAGATCATAGCATGAAGAATAGCATTGGGTTTTCAAAACTCTAGTGAGAGCAGGCTTCTACCCAAATAATGCTCCAAGTTAAATCTATCCTCACAAACTATTCACTGATTCATTTTGTGATGTCATGTCAAATTCTAACTACTGGTTACCAAGTGATCTCAATTTTTATAAATTCCAATTTATTTGGAAATGAAAGCTTAAAGGATTTCTTAAGCAATTTCATCTAATGATATGCTTGTTTCAAAATAGGAACTGTAAGAATGAAACATTTAAAATTTGGCAAAAACAAAGTACTTTTTCAGAGAGTTACAGTGATTAATGGGAGATTCATTTTTCTTCTTACGATGTATTTAGGATTTGGGGGAAGGAATGGCAATAACAAGATACCAAGGTTTATTGTGAATCCCGTAAGGAAACATTGGATCATGTGCTTTTATGAATAGATAAGAATGATCTATCATTAGCTTGTCAAGAATACAGAGTTTACTTTCAAACAGCCTGAGTAAAGCCTGTCCTAATCACCACTCTCTACAATCTGTGCTACTACTATTTTATACCACCAATGAAGAAATAATTGATTTTTAACTCTGCTCTGCCACCATCCAAATTATTGAAATTTGAATTTTAGTATAGCTATTACTTGAATTTCATTAAGCTGCTTTTGTTCATTAATAACTAAATATTCATAACTGGGCAGTAGGTAATATAAAACGTTAAGTATTAAATTATCGATTTCTAGGGATTGGCAGAGTATTTAGTTAAAAATGTTTTATATTACCAAATGTATATCTCAGAACTGTGAGTATGCAAACTGAAGAAAGAAATCTAGTAGTGTGCAGTTAGGATTTTTGCATCAAGATAGGAATACTTCTGCCCTTGTGCACCAAGTTCCTACTTTGATTAATGAAGAACATTATCTGCTGATGGAGCACAGTGTCCTGTGTTTGTGCAAATAAATTAAAATGATTACATACTCAAATGAGGACTAATTAAATACAGAGCTGTTCTCCTAATTTAAAAGCACAGATACTTTCTTCAGCACATTAGGTTCTGAAAATCGGATATTACGTTTTGTGTGAGCCTAACTGATTAGGCTTACCTTGCATATATAAATTTGGTTTATTTCTGAAACTACCACTAAATCTGATAGCATGTGGGGTGATTAATTATGCATTAAGGTGTTTAAAATAGCTTTTCAACACGAGCAGCACAAAAAGAATTTTAAAAATGAGAAGACAATGAAATGCTCAGTAGATACATTTAAGATACTTAAAAATTTATATACCTACTTGGCTTAGTCTGATTATCTTAAAAGTAGAGAAAGCAATATGGTTATTTCATTTTTTTCTTCAGGTAAATATAGTTCAAAAGTCCTTGTAAAATTTCATGTTAAATTTGCTTACAGTTTTCAGTTTTGTGATCTTTGATAATGCTATAGGTCTTGATAGTCCTTTCTTTAGGCAGCCAATGGTCCTAAAAGTCCTACTATGTTATATGGTTTTTTTTCAAAATAGGAGTATCTTTATTTCCTTTTCCTGTTACATGCCATCATTACGATAAAGAGTAATACCTCTATACGGCAATAGAAAGGAACAGCGGTTTATTGATAAGATGTTTTAATAGGAATGACCCTCAGAAACATTATGCTAAGAAAAAAAAGCCCTATTATAGGAAAGACCACATACCCATTTATATGAATTTCTAGAAATCTGTAGGGACAACAAATTAGTAGTTGTCTAGGGGTAGAAGTGGGAATTGATTGCTCAGGAGCAGGAGGGAGCTTTTTGAGTGATCCTGGTTGCACAACTGTATGTTTATTAAAATCATTAAAGGGTACCCTTAAAACGTGTTAGATTTTATGATACGTTATTAGTATGGAGGGTGAGAATGGGAGGTAGAGGAAACTGCTAGAACATCTGTATATTTAGAGTTCAAGAGAAAAGAAGGAAGAAGAATCCTAAGATAGATATTCATAGAGGAAAAAACAATAAAGAACTTTTGACCAGAGGAAAAAACATTGAGATACCAAGGAAGAGAGATTGCCACCCTCTTCAAATTTCCCTCCCCACCTAACTCCCTTCAGATTGATTGGTTTGCGTTTTAGCAGACCACACACACAGGTGTCCTCTCCTCCCCACCTTGTACCCCCAGTGCCTTGTTCCACATGAATACATACATGCGCACTCCTCTTTTTTAAAATTTTTATTAAAATCCTATAATGAAATCCATTTTATTAATTTGGTGGTTTTACTATATTCACAATGTGCAACCATCATCACTCTCTAATTTCAAAATATTTCCATCACCTCACAAAGAATCCCCACACTTTTCACTTTCCCACCTTCCATACTCTGGCAACCAGTAGTTATTTTCTGTCTCTGGGTTTGCTTATTCTGGACATTTCCTAAGAAGAGAAGCATAAAATGTGGCCTTTTGTTTCTGGTTTCTTTCACTTAGCATAATGTTTTCAAGGTCATTTTTTTTTTAACTTCGCAATCTATTGTGGGCATCATATATGTTGAACATTGAAATTTTCTTCATTCTTTTTCCTGACTGGATACCGTTTTATTAAATGACCAGAATTTAATTTACTTCAGCAGTCCCCTGTTGTCAGACAGCTGGGATCTTTGTACGGTTTTTAACCATTTTAAATAGTGCTGCATTGGTACTGGCTTCTTCCATTATTACAGTGCCATATTTGCTTTTTATAGTGCTCAGGTTAATAATTACTTACATGCAGAATTTAAATTCTGAAAATTTCAATAATTTTATTCCCCAATAGTTCTGTTTAGTATGAGTCTAGTTTTTGATTTGTTGAAGCATGCAAGTCACATCTATGTTTGTACAAGCATTGCTCTGTGATTCTCTATTACCTCAGCATTTTTATACTACTCTTAAGGAGTGGAATGTGAACACTGGTAAAAGTATCATGTCCCGCCCACACTTCAAATTATTCCTACATTAGAAGGGAAGACTTCATTCAAAATGAGCTGCCTTTTTTTTTCTTGCCCATTTAGAAGAGTCAGTCTGACAGTGTCATTTTAAGGTCACTGTTTTTACATAGCTTTTTTTTTTTTTTAAAGTTCTGAAATGTGCCCATTTTAATTTCTCCTTCAGTGGATCTTCGTGCTCATCTAATTTACTCATTTCAGAACATCCCTACCATTTAACTCAATTGTGCTTTAGTTATATCAGTACTCATCTTTAGAGAGAATATCAAATATATGGTATGATCTGACAGTGACTCTGCTCAAGCTAGGCCTTGTCACCCAATTTGTTCCTGTTTCAATTCCCAGGAGTTGAATTTTATCATGATAGCAGTTATAAAGACTAAAATCAACATCTCTACTTCAGACATCTGCAGAAATCAGTTTGTTATATCAATTTTTCTTGAGCTTTAAGAGTTGAATTACTTAATAAAATGATTTAAAATGCTTTCCTTTTGCTTGTTTTTTGTTTGCATGGAGTTGTTTGTTTAGAGGGTATATTTTGCTTTGGTGTTGTATTTATGGTATTTTATAGCTTGCTTTTTTTTTTAAAGATTTTATTTATTTGACATAAAGAGTGTGAGCACAAGCAGGGGGAGCAACAGGGAGAGGGAGAAGCAGGCTTCCCACTGAGCAGGGAGCCCGATGCGGGCTCCATCCCAGGACCCTGGGATCATGACCTGAGCCAAAGGCAGATGCTTAACTGACTGAGCCACCCAGGTGCCCTATGCCTTGCTTTTTTAATGCACTTTAAAAAAAAAAAAAAAAAAACTGTTTCTGAACTGTTTAAATGTGGCACATATTTATCACTGCATGAGCAGTCCTATTGAACAGCATCTTCCAGTTTAAATGCCAATTCAGATACTCCTTGCATGTCTAGGTCTGTCACAAGGTCATGCTTAACCCAGGCTCAGTTTTTACCATCTCTTCAGACTATTTTATTCTGACTGGTCTAGGTCACAATCTTCCTGGGATAACATGGCTTTGGCTTTTTTTTTTTTTTTTTTTTTTTTTGGTTTTGGCTTTTTCTATAAAAAATTCAATCACTTATATGGTTTAATAAAAGATTAAACTGCATCTACAATGAGAGGAATGTTGTTTAAATATGGCTCTCCTTGATCATCTACTGTGAACCAAAAATAGAATTTAATATCTGACATGAGTTGTACTGACTTTGTTTTTATTCATATCACAAAAATAAGAGAGAATCATTTATGAACAAACCATGGAACCTCTGTCTTAACCTGGATCCCCCCTAGAGGCAGAACCAGAGCTCAGCTGAGAGCATCAAAGTCAAGACTGAATTGAAGGTGATAGCAGGGACTCTGAGGCCCTAAGAGAATCAGCAGGGGGAAGGTTGGAGAGATTGTGCTAACATGTACTAGGAAATTTTTCTACTTATGTTATATGAACAATGATATAAAATTTTTAGTGTATCAGAATACAGCCTATTTACATTATTGGTGTAAAAGCCATGAGTGCTAAAAGTAAATCAAACAGCAGCAAGGTATGTTAATTTTGTAAATCAATTTTATCAAGAAAGTCATATGTAAAGCAGTTTTTCAACATCCAGACTACATAAGGCAATTCTTGCTGATACAATCATTTTGCAGAACCTCTCACAAATTCATTTTAGCCCTAGGGTTGGGAAATTTCTCTTCCTCACTACTTTAAATTGCTCATGCTGCAATTAGAGCTTCAGTCTTCTTGCTCTTTCTTTATTGGAGATGGGCTCAGGTCCTCTAAGACTGGGGCAGGGAACCTGTGGTCCCTGACCAAGATCTGGAAGACAGTATCCATTCAGTACCATCCTAATTCTCTTCATTTCATCTGCCCCTTTCCTCTGCCATGCTCAGTGTGCTCTGGCTGCTGGTACTGCTCCAAACATAATTTTTTCCACATTGGCAATTATAAAATTGAGATTCAGAGCAGATCTGATGAAATAGTTTCAGAACTATAAAAAATAGGCAGTTTTTCAACGTTTTTTTATTTTTTTATTTTTTTTATTTTTTTTAAAAGATTTTATTTATTTATTTGAGAGAGAATGAGAGAGAGAGAGAGCACATGAGAGGGGGGAGGGTCAGAGGGAGAAGCAGACTCCCTGCCGAGCAGGGAGCCCGATGCAGGACTCAATCCCGGGACTCCAGGATCATGACCTGAACCGAAGGCAGTCGCTTAACCAACTGAGCCACCCAGGTGCCCTTTTTCAACGTTTTTAAGAGAAACGTATCTACTGCCGAGGGTACGGCTTCTATCCTTGCCTTTCTGTCTCTATGCTTTTGGTGTCGAGTTCATTCAAATTCTAGTTGACCCTGATTCAGAAATGAGATGTATTTGTAGCATTTGTTGTGCATGTCAAAGTTTTATGTGGCCTATTCTCAGTTCTTTAACAAAAAAAGTAATATTGCCTCTCTAAGTGATGGGGAAAATACTCTTGATCTCTTTTTGCAGGTGATAGAGGGAAGAAATAAGGCCCTTGCTTGAAGTTTTCCTGGTTTCCTGGTTCATTGGGGAAATGCTTCCCTGCCTTGCTCAATGAGCTTGTCCCATTGAATGCAGCTCCAAACTATTAAGTTCCTACTGTGAACAAAGTCCTGTTTTTGGCTTCCTTCTTACAAGCTTAAATATTCTCTGCTTTAATGCTTTTACTCACAACTTAACTTTCTTTTCTGATTGCCCTTGGACTCTTCTCTAGATCCTTCCCAAATTCTTTAATTGTGTAACCCAGCCCAGGACTTGCATGTTTCATGCACCTAGTGACAAGTATCTAAACGGTCACCTGGCACTTCTTTTTGTGTGGCCAAGAATGACATGTTTCATGTGTGCTTTTTTTATGGGGATTTTTTATTGTGTTATGACATACGCAGAAATTTTACCAGAATATAAGTGTCCAGCTAGTGAATTTTTTTTTTAAGATTTTATTTATTTATTTGACAGAGACACAGCGAGAGAGGGAACACAAGCAGGGGGAGTGTGAGAGGGAGAAGCAGGCTTCCCACTGAGCAGGGAGCCTGATGTAGGGCTCGATCCCAGGACCCTGGGATCATGACCTGGGCTGAAGGCAGACGCTTAACGACAGCCACCCAGGTGCCCCAGCCAGCTAGTAAATTTTCACAAAATGAGCATAATCACATGACTGGATCAAGAAACAGACCTCAGAGCGTCTCAGCAGCCCCTCACAGGTCCCCATCCACGTTCTTCCTGTCATCCCCTGCTGAGTCCAATTTATGACCACTGTGATGGAGCATCACAATCCTGGCACTTTTTTGTGTATGCTTTTGAACTGTGAGCTGAGAGTGGAAAATACATACCTTACCACTAGCCCTGCTAATAATTGGTGAAGCCTTGATTATGTCATTTTGTACTTTAATTTTCTCTCTATAAAATGAAGAATTTGTATGAGATTTAAGGCCTTTCACTTCTAAAATACAGTGTATAATATATATTGTTATATATGTTATATACTTATGTATATAATACATAATATGCATATAACTTTTGAGTTGGTAATAAAATCTCAGTCATATTCAAAAAAAATATATTGGCTTGGGAAAATGTTCCATATATATGTGTGTGTATATATATATATTTTTTTAATACATATATCTATTTTATAATTTTATTAACTGTATGAAATTATATATAGAAGTATGTATAGAATATCTTTTTAAAAAAACCACATTTTTCACCTGGGACAGGTATTTTATTAAGTGAGGGAATTAATGACTAGATGCTCTTCTTTTCAGAGCTCTTGAATTGATCGGAAGAAGTTTTAACTATACCGTAGGAGGAAAACATGGTTTTGCCCTAATAAGTCCTAATGTAATTTTTAGCTTTTAAATATTTTGTCCTTCTAATTTAATTGCATTAAAAAGTATCAAACAGGCACATCACCCATAGGCCAGAGTTTGCTACTCTACCATTAGAGTGATCCCTTTTTTGGGGGGTTTATCAGTGCCCCTCTCAATCTTAAAAAAATAATCTAATTCCCTCTAAGGTATCCAGGACTTCCATCTATTTTAGCACTGGCCTCCTGTGGTATAGCATTACTCTTCTCGAAAAATCCAGTAGCCATTTCCTTAGTTCAATCACTAAAATGTCTTGGACAAAATAAAAGCTGTGCTACTCTTAAGGGCAGCAATTACATCCATTTCAGCAACATGGGAAGTACAGGAAAACCCAGCGTGGCTCTCAGAAGTCAAAGCCAGTAAAGGGACAGGAGGGCTTTTTTTTTTTTTTTTGGTTCTTTATTAATAAAATTGATTTTTATACTTTGAGTATGTAACATAGAATAAGATAAAAAGTATAATATAATAAATACCTGTGTACTCTACCTGTAGATTGAGATGTAAAAACATTAAGTACAGTTGAAATACCCTGTGTATATTCTAATTGCAGCCCATCTCTTCCCAGGAGAGTCACTAATATTCTGAATTTTAGGCTTATCATTTTCAGCTTTCCTTTACATTTTTACTATGCATGTGTTGTGTCTGTCCTTAAACAATGTAGGATTATCTAGCAGATTTTTTTATTTTTACATAAATGACATCACCCTGTTTTTCCTCTGTAACCTGCTTTTTTCACTCCTGAGTTTGTGAGATACAGCTATGTGCACTTCATGAAACTCCACTTGCTAGTATGTAGTATTTCATTAACATATTTCAGTATACTGATCAAACTATGAACATTAGGCTTGTCTCCAGTTGCTTGCTTTTACAAACTGGTGTATGAACAGTCCTATGCCTGTCTTGTGTGCATGTGCGCGAAGTTTTGCCTAGGGACCTCTGTAGGGCTCGGGCTCCATGTTTGCCCTCATGGCTTGTGTCTGTCTTATCCCAAAGCCTTAAGACCAGCCTCAGTATTTTCTTCTAAGCATGTTAAAGTTTTGCTTTTCACATTTAATTTTTTTTTAGTCCACCGGTATATATGAAGTAAGGATCCAATTTTGTTTTTTCCCATATATGATACCAGTTGTTTCATAAGCATTTCCCCAACAGTCGGTCCAGAAAAGGGACACTGAAGCTAACCATAAGGCACTTTCTAGGTTAGTGTGAAAAAGAATGGAAGGAAAAAAGGAGCACCCCCTCCCCTGCCTTTAAAGATAGGAATCTTTCTTTAAAATGTGTCTACCTTTTCCTCCCTCCTCTAGCCAGTGTCTCTGCTCTCACCTACATGGAATTGGCTTCATTAGTATGAGATACATGAGTTAGAGGAAGCCCTGCCTTGGGATACTGTTACTTCTGATCCCCTAAACCGAAGCTCTCCAGACTTCTCCTGTAAAAGGCCAGATAATAAATACTTTAGACTCTCTAGGCCAAGAGGCGGAATCAAGGGTAGTATGTATATTGTGTGTGTGTAACACATATATATAATATATGGCGTATGTATTGCTGGATAAGTATCAAAAAAGAAAAATTGCCACAGAATTTTTGACAAAATAAAAACTATAATAATAATTGAGTACAATTTTTGATAACACAGGTCTACGATTGTGTGGAATGGAATTCTTCCTGATGATCTAATTTAGTTTATTCCTCCTAACAACCCTGATCAGGTAGATATTCCCACCAACGTTTCATCTATAAGGAAAATGAAGTTCACACGAGATTACCCTGAGACATCATTCGAGCCTAACTCCAGAGCTTGTGCTCTTAACCCTCATAGAGTTTTCATAGGGGGATCGATGTTAAGTTTTGTTTTAAACAGGAAGAAATGGAAGTGCAGGGGTTCAGTAGCTTGGACAAGGTAATACAGATTGCTGTAGGGCTATTGCTGTGTAATTTCAAAGCCATGTTCTTTCCCTTCTGACTATTCTGCTGCTTTAAAATTTCCAGTAATCTCAGGGATAATGGCTGCAATCAACAAATCAGGTCCCAAGTTATGGTACCATTTTAATTGAAATGTTTTCATACAAAAAAAAAAATGTTTTCATACAGAAATCATCAACTCTCTACATTTTTTTTAATTATATAAATTGTAAATGGACATATTAAAAAAAAAACCCATATAATACTGAAGGGTATTCTATGAAAGGTAAAAAGTGAAATTTATTAATTCATTTTTTTGTCCTCTTCCATTTTTTCTCTCCGTATTTCTCTCTTTATTTTTCTCATATTTTATCTCTTTCCCTTTGGGGTGTGTGTGTGTGTTGTAAGAGCTATTCAGAATAGAATAAAGCAGTACATGCTCAAAAGTAGAATTTAAATCCTAGAGACATAAAGGTGCTGTTATTGACCCAATGCAGTAGGAATCTCAAAACTGTTATGCATTCTTTTAATAGGTAAATGGGTTTTAGTTTCCTGGCATCAAATCGGTGTTCAACAGGTGTTTACTGAATGGCTAGTATGTGGTAGATTCTGAGAGTTACAAATGAAAACACCTACCTCTGCCTTCAAGGAGCTCACAAGCTAAGGAGATTCTAACAAAGCGAACTTGAAAGTAAAGGGAAAGCCTGAGTAAATTCATCCAGGGCAGAGATTGTGTCATCATGGGTCTAGCACCTTAGATCCTTTATTAAGAAAGATACAAGTTAATTGATGATACCAGTTCCCATTTGATTGATGCATTTAATAGGCAATAAATCCGATTAACTTCAACTTTAATATAAAACAAATCAACAAAAGCATAATCACTATATGCGTACCTGGCATCAAGTGTGTATTTAAAAATGTGTTTTGGTGTGAAATCAACAGCTAAAAGGTACTTGTTGCATACCATGTGCAGACCCCCTGCCAGACGTGTCACTTTCGTGTCTCCTTTAAAGATCACATCCAATGAGGTCGGTATTATTATTATCACTGCTTTAGATTATTTTAAAGATTCAAAGTATTTGCCCATTTGTTGCACAGCTAAAAATGAGTATAGCCACAATTTGACCGAGAGAGTAGTTATGTAATCTTGAAAGGATGGTGACATTTGAAAAGAATTCATGCTGCCTTATAATTTATTTGCAATCCTAAAGGGAAACTAGAAAAAATAAATCATATGCATGACACTGAACTGATAGATGAATTAAAATTTTGCCTCGTCTCCCAAAGGGCTTTTTTTTAAGGACAACAAATCAGAAGCTGAGCTATCTCTGAGGTTTGGATTAGGGAATTTGGGTTCAGTTCTGAAATGAACTAGAGATGTGTGCTTCTAGTTCTAAATTCTAGATTATGTGAGAGCATGAAGCTCTGACCCTCCCAGGTGTTATTACTTTATTGAGCAGCCTCCTGGAGAATTCCTTTGGGCGCTGTGGTTATGTTGTATATGCAGTTATGTGTATGCTTTGTATGTGTTCCCGCACATGGAAGGGCCAGGTAAAAGTGGATAGTGTTTGGGAGAAGGGAAGAAAGAAAGAGAGAAAGAGAGAGAGAGGAAGAAAGAAAAAGAAAGAAAAAGAAAGAAAGAAGGAAAGGAAGAAAGAAAAAGGAGAAAGGAAAGAAGGGAGGAAGGAAGGGAGGAGGAGGAGGGAGGAAGGAAGGAAGAAAGAAAGGAAGGAAGGGAAGGAAGGAAGGGAGGGAGGGAGGAAGGAGAAAGGAAGGAAGGAAGGGGAAAGGAAGGAAGGAAAGAAAGAAAAGAAAGAAAAAGAAAAGGAAGGTAAGAAAGAAAAAAGAAAAAGAGAAGGAAGGAAGGAAGGAAACAGATTCTACCTCTGGCTCTGCCCCTAACCCATCATATAGCTTTCAGGAAAGTTAAATTTTATGCTCCCTATGAAATGAAGATAAAAATGATGTCTCTGCCCACTTCACTGAACTCGAGGATCCAAAAAGACCATTTATGTGAGATGGTTTTACAAAACCCAAAGAGCTACACACAGTCAGGGCACTATTTTTAAAATAACAAGCCTGGCTATATGCTCATGCACTGGCTATGTTAACCTGTGGTTGGGGGAAAGCCAGGGCTCAAGCCAGATGCCCTGAAGCAGAGAGCTGGCCTGTTCACACCAAGACCAAGAGAAGACTAGTTCAACTGTTTTCGAAAGTCTCTCCACGTTTAAAATTCGTCTTTGTCAGGAGAAAATACAGTGGTTAAGAGCCCAGGCTTTCTAATTCGACCAGTTAGAGCTCAGAAGCTAGCTACCCACCCCCCCAACCCTGGAATCTTGTGGGAATGTCCTCTCTCAGGTTCATTTGTCTCATCTGTGGGACAGGGGTAACTATAGCAGCTGCATCCGATGCTCTGTGGATTAATCGGGCAAAAGAATGCTTAGGACTTAATATGGTGCCTTGTAAAATGAAAGCTGGTGGTGGTAGTATGTAGAATATATTATTACGGACAGTAGTAGTCTCAGCAATAGTAATAGTGTCCCAATATCACGAGGAAACTTGGACGATTTTTTTCTTACAATTATGAGTATAATTTCTTGGGACCTAATTTGCACATATTGTGCTAAACAGTGGACCAGTGTTCTTGCACACAATTTTCACTTGCTTTTGCTGACTGAGGGACCTTGACCATGGCTTTCATTCTGTGGAATTGATTCATAGAGTCACATCGTGTTTGCACCTCACTGCAGAGACTTTTCTTAAAATGCACTCAGCATTTGCATATTAGTTAACATTTCCTTACTGAGATTTATCCATTTTGTCTCAAAACAAGTGCCTGGTCACTCAACTTGGTATGCACCTCTGAAAATAAGTTTGATGAAATGCACTATTAGCATTTTCTTTGTTTCCTGGAGGTTAATACAGTTGAAGAATAACATGAATAGTTAAAAGTCCTAAAGCATAATTTGAAGGAGTGTCAGCAAACCTGTAGTTATCATAGTAGTACTTGGGCAATATCTCATTTCCACTTAGCTTCAGAGCTATAAATAGTTGTAATTTGTTTTCTTTGTACACTTAGTGGATTAATTACAGGAAAACAAGCCAAGTGATATTGTAGCAGTTGGCTAAACTTGACATAAACACGATAATTAAAATGATTGCTTTTTAATTTATCCCCTTTTCAGGAGTTTAATGAGCTGAATCTACAGTGTTATAAGAGTTAAAGAATTTGATTTGAGAATCACTGGGCTCTTCTATCAATGTGTTCTCATTGTTAACAGTGGATTTCAGTGCTGCTCAATATTGTTGGGAGTTGCCTTCAGAAAGGAAACACCTGGGTCCTGCTTCCATGAGATATCTGCTTAGTAAAAAGTGTATTGTTTCCATCACACCTACATCACCATGTAATAATTACGTGTTTCCATTTACCTATCCAAATTGATGCTAGTAACACACATACATGAGAATGCACACACATACACACCCTTGAAAAAGGATGAAAACGAGAAACAGTTTTCTCTGCCATCAGTAAAAGTCACATGTTTATTTCAACATGTCTTCCAACAAGCTATATGGTGCCTCAGCATTACCCAAAGCAACGATCGGGCTCTCCTGCTCCCCTAGTCTGTCCCTTGTTCCTAGATGTCTGATTACATCTGGAAAGATACTGCTTTTGTTAATGTACAAAAGGAGGGCCACTGGGAAGCAAGGAAATGAAAAATGGTAACTGCCAAAGGTCTAGTCCTTTCATCCTAAAAAGGTTGCCTGAGCCACTCTTGGCCCTCCCATTATGTTCCTTCATGGTTTGCCAATTAACTTTTCCCAGTGCTCAAGGGTCACTGATCTGGGCAGCATTCTTTGGTTTCCCCTCCCACTGATTCCCAGCAAAGCTGTTATAAATGCCCTGTACTTCCTTTTTGATTTTCCCTTAGTGGCTGGGTTGCTTTGTGAGAATTTGATGCACAGGTTTAAACAACCTCTTTACAAAGCAGAGACAAAGCAAAAATAGAACGAGAGAAGTACACTCAAATGGGCTAGAATGAAAGCAAACTTCAGCTGCAAACTTTTTAATTGAAGTACCTGGATTTTTGTTGCTTTTAAGAATTTTAAAACAGAGCACACCTGAAAGATGGGGATATTTTATTCCCTCTGTGTATCTCAGAAGGATTTTCCACTTCATATCTGACTTTGAACAACTCTCCATATAGTCTGCATTTAAAATGTCAAGTAATTTCACCTGACCTTTAGTAAAGACGGGTTCAACTGGCAATTGGAGAAGCTTATGCCCTGCAAGTTTCTCTAGTGTTCCCAACACTTTTTGAAATAGGGACTGCTCCTCAGAACTCAATTCTGGGCCCTCAGTTGTCTGTCATTACATCCTGCTCTCCAAGGCAGTTTATTTGCTCTTACAGATCGAACTCTTGCTTCCCTGTTAGAGATAACCAAAACTATATCCAAAACACTAGCCCCTCACCCATGCTCAAATCCCTATCATTAACTGCCTGCTGGACATTTCTTTAAGATGTACCCTTGTCAATAAACTCGAACCCAACATAGGCACAGTGATTGGAACTCATCTTCTCCCTTCCTCTCTCCTCGGCTCTAACAGGCTGCCTCTGCACAATCCACAGTTCCCCCCTCCCTGTTCTTCTCCATCTCCATCTTTCTCTCACAGCCATTCCAGTGATGAACAAGCTGTAGAGTCAGCTTCATTTGATGTCCTCTCTCCCCAGCTTCTTACATCCATGCACGAGGGAAGTCTTCTGTATTCTTTCATGTCTCTGCTGTGCCTCCTTCCTCTACTGTACTGTGAATAATCATCCAGGTTTACATAAACATTTATTCAACCAAAGCATATTAGTCTACAGGCTTTGTGATAGGCACGTGGAAGAGCTGATGTTGGCAAAGAAATTGCCATGGCAATGATCATAGCAATTGCCCTGAATTCTTACAATACTTCCCTAATTGGTATCTTGGGAGCCAATACCTTTCCATCTCCTATCCATCGGGCCACAGAACAACCCCTCTAAATACAACTTTGATAATATTTTTTCTAAATATCATGTATTTAACTAACTCTGTTATAGATATACTATGATCTAAAACCTGTAGAACTCTTCATGTAGAACATCATAGGTCACGCAGCTGCGTTTTGAATCATGGTTGTGTGTCCACATGGCTGTGGAATACCATGTCACCTTCATCTGCCAGACGCATTTCCTCCCAAAACCTCAGCAGACCAACTCCCTTGGGATGCGGGGACAGGGGCTTAGTCTCATACGGCCAGAAGCAAGAATCTCTGTGGAATATTGGAGTATCCAAACCAGTGAGGTCCATGGATTAACTAACTTCCCAGTTGAACAAGTTCAGCACCATTTAGTGCCAAAGCCACTGCCCGTGCCCATCATGCCATCTGTTTACCAAAAAAATGTGTGTGGGCTATTCATCAGTCGGTTAGTGCAGGTTGGCCACACTCTGGTCTCCGAATATCAGGGAAAACCTCCCTGATCAAATGACATCTATTTCTATATGTTTAAAATACGACCTCTTTTTTATGATCACAGAAGCAACACACACGTATTATAAATCAAACAACACAAAAATAAGAAGTAGAAATTGAAGGTCCCTCATGTGACCTCCATGCCCACAGATTGCCAGATGGAAGGAGAGCATGTTGCACTGGCATTCTCACTAAAATTCTGTCTCCTCGGCCATTTCAATATCCCTCCCTTCTCAACAATTCTGTGACAAAAGTAGAAATGAAAAGCCAATCTTGCAGACTCATTTTATCCCAAATTTCTGCTTGCCGTGGCAGCTCCAAAGGTAGGAGAAAAAGCAGGAGTCGCTGAGGGCACACGGACCCTTCAGCGACCACCGTGCGCCAGAGTCCTGGGATGACGATGGTTATGCCCCTGACACGCCAAGCAAGGCCTGCGCTCTGCTAGCGTGGCCCCTCTTTGACCACTAGGTGGTTCTGTAACCTATCTGATGCGCTCCCCACTTGCTGGCCGAGGTGAAGAGCAGAAACATTTAGGGTAGGATTCGTGTCCCCACACCATCCCCATTTGTTTCTATCTTAACTTTCACCCACTCCTCTGTGTCTAGATAGAATTTGGTCACGGAGCCAATATGCCCCATCTCACCAAGGCTGTTGTATGTTCCCTGCTGGGGAAGAGAAGAGGGCAATCTCTTGCAGCAGGCCAGGCTCAGGCTGTGAGGCTGCAAGCTGTTTTCTAACTAGGGGGATGAGGGGAACTCACAAGTACTCCATCCTGTTGCAGCAGGAGAGGAAATCTCATGCTTCAGGGATGATTCCACATCTACTGCATTCACTCATTCAACACACTCACTGGTGCCTATTCTTATATTCAGGGAAACCTGCTGGGTCCAGAAAGGATAGAATGAGACTGGGGTAGCTCGTCTTTGAGAGCTTAACAGTCAGAGCAACAAACAAGTTGTTTGCCCAAGACCCATCCTCCCTTTTGGATCTCGATTCTCATCTCCCTCCCTCCGTCCATGGGTACAGGTGATGGACTCTACCTCTGGCTTCCTGGTGCACCATGTGACTCCACCACGGCCTGAGCATTGCGTCTCTGCTTACACTGATTGGTGTGGAGATGAGTATGTGGTCTGATCCGAGGAGATGCTACCAGAGGGGTTTTGCTGGAACTACTGAGAAACAAGCTTTTTCTTTTGTTATGCTGATCTTGAACCTGGGATTATATAAGCCTGAATCTGTTGGCAGCCATCTTGCCATCACATGAAGTCTGAGAATGAAGCTAGTGTGGAGGAAAGTGGTGTTAAGAGATAAAAATAGGATGGGTTCTGATGATGTCATTTGAGTCCTTAAATCAAAACATGCCTGAAGCTACATCTACTCCTGAAGCATCGGTAGATTTCCACTTTGCTTGATCTTTTTTTTTTTTTTTAAAGATTTTATTTATTTATTTGACGGAGAGAGACACAGCGAGAGAGGGAACACAAGCAGGGCGTGTGGGAGAGGGAGAAGCAGGCCTCCCACGGAACAGGGAGCCCGATGCGGGGCTCCATCCCAGGACCCCAGGATCATGACCTGAGCCGAAGGCAGACGCTTAACGACTGAGCCACTCAGGCGCCCCTCTACTTTGCTTGATCTTATGTGGATCAGATTTTCTGTCACTTGCATCAGATGTAATTAATGCTATATAATATGCATAGTAATAAATAATTAAAAGATGATAATAATGCAGTGTGATAGATCAGTGATATGATAGAGGTTAGTACAAGCTGTTATGCAATAAATAGAAGAGGGGCAGGGATAGCTTTACTAAAAAGTCCCTTTATTTAAGAACTAAATATGGAGCACTGTATTAGTTTACCAGAGCTGCCATAACAAAGTACCACAGATTTTGGCTTAAGTAACAAATTTATTTTTTGCTTGTCTGTTTATTTTCTGGCAGTCCAGAGGCTAAAAGTCTGAGATCAAGGTATTGGCAGGGTTGGTTTCTTCGGAGGCCTCTCCCCTTAGCTTGTGAATAGTCATCTTCTCCCTCTGTCTTCACATGGTCTCCCCTCTGTGCCTATCTGTGTCCGGTTTTCTTTTTATAAGGGTATCAGTCATATTGGAGTAGGACCCACGCTAATGATCACATAATTACCTCTCCCCCCACCCCACATAACTACCTCTTTATAAAATACTACCTCCAAATACAGTCACATTCTGAGGTACTGGGAGTTAGGACTTCAATGTAGGAATTTGGAGGGGATACAATTCAGCACATACCAATCATCTAATTTGGATACGAAGACAAGTAAAAATGGGTTATTGCTCGTTTTTAAGTTATTTATTTATTTAATCTCCATGCCCAACGTGGGGTTTGAACTCAGGACCCCGAGATCAAGAGTTGCATGCTCTACCTACTGAACCAGCCAGGTGCTCCTGTTGTTCTTAAATCTACATACGACTGACAAAAGCAATCATAATACAAAGCTAAACAAATGAAGCATGCATTTATTGAGCACATTGCTAGAAGCTGTGGATTTACCATTGAAAATAAGACAGTCGGCCTGTGAGCTCACTACTATCGAAATGCTATGTTAACGTGGGTGGTATACATTTCTGAGCTTTGAGGAAGAGGTCACTTCCAGGTAGTGGGCTATTTGAAAGGCCCTCTCTGAACGATGGGTAGAATTTTAGTAGAGGCAGCTGGGAGGGATAGATGTGGAGGGCTCTGGCAGTGTGACACATTTACCAAAACCACCCAGATAAACTGAGTAAGTCACTGTTGACCATCTCTTTCCATTTTCTTTCCTGTGTCAGTGCATCAAACCTTTTTCAGACTTTGGTAAATGCTTTTATTTTAAAGGCAGCTGTTAACATAATGTTTGCTGGTTCCCTTGACTTAGATTGCTCTTCCTCATCTTCATTCCATTTCCGTCACTGTTAAAAGTTGTAAAATGTTTGGGAGTTTTCCCTATGTACAAGTTAAGAAGTAAACCTGCCAGAGGTTCATGGATGATGACAGATGACATAAGACTCCAGGGTAAGAAATGAAGGGCTGTTTATTACGCCTGGCCTTTTCTGGCATCATGAAGAAGGTCAGTTGATACTTGCACATGAAATGATGTGTGTCATAGGAGAAGAGCCTAGAGTTTAGGGAACCCAGATCTTTTTTAATAGGCAGTAATGTGCCTGCATTTTGCTCCTGAGGGCGACAAGGTTGTTCACTATACAAATATCCCTCGAAAGATAGTCTGGAACAAATGGGCAGTGAGTGCCTTCCTTACAATATGTGAAGAAACCCAAGAAGCCCATGGAGATTTACCTTCTAATAGTCATAAACAGCTTTGGCCAAACAAATTTCCTGCTGCTTTTACAACAGATAAGTCCCAAGACATCTATGTGTGAAAAGAATGTTTCATTAAGTCTTGGATTTAGACTCTGGTTTTTCTTGCTTCCATTTTTCTGTGGTTTTGACCAGGAGTCTAACAGCCCATTCTGAAATGACCTCTCTCCCTTGCCTGCAATTATGTAATGCTCTAAACTTTAAGTTTAGCTACTCATTAAATCCTTCTTCACATTTCTCTGAAATACGGTAATTGATTTTACCAGGCGTTAGCAAATCTTGGCCAGTGGACCAGAAGATGGCTTTTCACATTTTTAAAGAATTGTTAAGAAACAGAAGAAAAACAAAAACATGAATAGAGCCTGTATGTGGTCTGTAAAGCCTAAAATATTTGTGTGGTGGCCCTTCAGAGAATAGGTTTGCCCACCCATCTTCTAAACCTGTGGAAATGCTACAGTAATTGAGCAATGTCCTCTTCCCTCCCCACCATTCCTTAACTTTTTAGGTAAAATCATGGAAGGATTAGCTCTAGAGTAGTTATTGAATCAGTCAAAATTTCTCTGACAATAATACATTGCATTGCATTTCCTTCATAATAAATGAGATTTTATTTTTCTTCTCTTTTATGTCTGTCTTACCATCGCCTGTCCTGTACATCAAATGCAACAACCCATTATAACAACAACTAGTTTTTATTGCCAGTTATATGTTTCAAGCAGAGTCCCAAGCACTTTATATGTCCATGTTCTTGCCCAACCCTCAAAATTACCCTTTGAGGTAGTCATTGGTATCTCCAGCAAATAGATAAAAAACGAAGGCACAGTTCAGTTAATAACCTCTCCAACAGCAGATTAAGAAGCGTGTTTTACTGCTTCTGTCTGTCAGTAGTGTCTTCCTTCTTGGGAGCAGTGATCTTTTTTGGTGGAAGCCGTTGGTCATCACTAGGAGGGTGGGTGAGGAGCTGAGAAGGTACAGGAGAAAAGATAAGAAGGACTCTTTATTGACCGTTCTTTATGTGTCAGGATCCTGTTATGCCATTTAAAAAAAAAAAATTCACTTTGCTTTATTCTTGACGACAAAGATAAAGAGGCTTTTTCCATTTTTATACATGAAGAAAATGGAACTCAGAGAGCTCGAGAAATTTGCCTTACGAGAGCTAGAATTTGAACGGCTATTTGTCTGAGTCAAAATTGGTCTGTGAAATTATTGCCACGTCACTCGGAGGAATAGCCCCAAGGGCCAGTATGTATCTTCTTAACCAGGATGATTAATGGCGTAGGCTGGGCTTAAGCTAATGTTTATAGAGCACCCACTGAGAGGCAAGTAGCATGGTAGATGTTAGTGATACAGAGCACAAAGAGGACCGAAATGCTTTCTTTTTACAAATTCTTGGTAAAAGGTAAGACATCCTAGCTTTGGGAGGGAAACTAGTGAGTGTTTTTCAGATGCTGTATATTGCGCTTAAAGCTGGTTTTCTTACATTTTTGAGTCTTCTGTTTGTTTTCTGACAGTCAATGACCTAGAGTTAATTAAAAACCGGATGCCCCACCTTGCCTTGGAAGATAAGTGGATTATTCAGGGTGGCTAA